ATGAAACCTTGCAATTAAGTACTCGAGATGTTAAAAGAAAATTAACCAATGAGAATTCCCCATCATTATGACATAAGAGATTAGGTCACATTTCCAAAAAGAGAATTGAAAGACTTGTGTCAAATGGGATTCTAGATTCCCTTGATTTTGTAGATTTTGAAATTTGCACAAATTGCATAAAGGAAAAACAAACAAACATAAGGAGATTTGGTGCCAACTGGGCTATAGATGTCTTAGAACTGATACATACAGATATTTGTGAGTCATTTCCTACGGTTTCATGGAATGGCTAACAATATTTTATCACGTTCATAGACGATTTTTCACGTTATGGCTACCTTTATCTCATTCATGAAAAGTCCTAATCACTGGAAGTGTTCAAATCGTTCAAAGTTGAAGTTGAAAATCAACTCAACAAAAGGATTAAAAACGTCAGATCTGACTGTGGTGGTAAATACTATGGTAAGTATGGCGGTTCAGGTGCACAACGTCCGGGACCATTTGCTAAATTCCTAGAGGAGTGCGGTATCGTCTCACAATACACCATGCCAGGTTCTCCAAGCATGAATGATGTTACTGAAAGGCGAAACAGAATGCTCAAAGACATGGTAAGGAGTATGATTTAGTCATTCTAACTTGCCAAAATCACTTTGGGGTGAAACATTAAAGACTGCAGCGTATATCCTTAACAGAGTACCAACTAAAGCAACTACTAAAACTCCTTATGAACTTTGGACAGGCAAGAAGTCTAGTCTGAAGCACTTACACATTTGGAGATGTCCAGCTGAAGCAAGGCCTTACAGGCCACAAGAAAAGAAATTAGATTCAAGAACGGTTAGTTTCTATTTTATTGGATACTCTAAAAGATCCAGGGGTTATAAACTCTATGATCCTACTACTAGATCAATTTTTGAGACGGGAAATGCCCGATTCTTTGAGGATGTTGAGTTTGATGAGGGAGATAAGGACAGAGATTTTGTTTTTGAAGAAAGGAATATGTTGATATTCTCATAGCTATTATTGACATTGATCAGGCTCCTATACCTGATATTGTTCAAGAAACAGATCCAAATCAAAACAATATCCAAGAACCTCCCATTTCAGAAGAACAAACTCTACCTCCTCCAGAACCTACGCTATTAAGGAGATCCACTACAAAAAGGAGAAGTGCAGTTCCAGATGATTATATTGTATTTCTCCAAGAACATGAGTTTGACATTGGTATGATGGAAGATGATCCAATCAACTTCTGTCAAGCCCTGGAAAGTTCTAAATCTCAAGAGTGGATTGATGCCATGAATGAGGAGATAAAGTCCATAAAGGACAATGACGTTTGGGATCTTGTCTCATTGCCTGAAGGTGTGAAACCCATTGATTGCAAATGGATATTTAAAACCAAGAGGGATTCGAAAGGTGATGTGGAGAGATACGCTCGTCTTGTCGCTAAAGGCTTTACACAAAAAGAAGGCATCGATTATAAAGAGACTTTCTCTCCAGTTTCATCGAAAGACTCTTTTAGGACAATAATGGCACTTGTGGTGCACTTTGACCTTGAGCTTCATCAGATAGATGTTAATACTGCATTTCTCAATGGTGACATTGATGAAACAATCTATATGGTGCAACCAGAAAATTTTGTGTCGGGAGATGCAAAGAAGATGATTTGCAAGTTAAAGAAATCCATCTATGGGCTTAAGCAAGCTTCTCGTCAATGGTATTACAAGTTTGATCAAGTTAGTTTTAAGATGAATATGGTTGATGATTGTCTATACCATCATTTCAGTGGGAGTAAGCATATTTACTTGGTTTTATATGTTGATGACATATTGCTTGCCACCAACGATATAAGCATGTTGCATGAAACCAAGAGATTTCCATCAAAGAAATTTGAGATGAAAGATATTGGTGATGTTTTTTTTGTGTTGGGTATACAGATACACCGAGATTGCTTTCGAGATACACTTGGTTTATCACAAAAGAGCTATATCGAAATTTTTTTTAAAAAGTTTGGCATGCATGATTGCAAATCAGGTAACACCCCCTGTGGCTAAGGGAGACAAATTTAGTCTCAGTCAATGCCCCAAGAATAATTTTGAGATTCAGGAGATGCAAAAGATTTCTTATGCATCAGCAATAGGAAGTTTGATGTATGCTCAAGTATGTACGCGTCCGGATATTACGTACATTGTTGTCATGTTGGGCAAATACTTAAGCAATCTTGGAAAGGATCATTGGGTAGCAGCCAAGCGAGTCATAAGGTACTTACAGAGAATAAAAGACTACATACTTAGTTATCGAAAATCAGATTAGTTAGAGATCATTGGATATTCTGACTCCGATTTTGCTGGATGTCGAGATAGCATGAAATCTACTTCAGGTTATATCTACTTAGTTGCTGGAGGTGTTATATCTTGGAAGAGTGTTAAACAGTCTATTGTAGCTTCTTCTACCATGGCAGTTGAGTTTGTAGCTTGTTATGAGGCGTCCAATCATGGAATATGGTTACAAATTTTTGTCACAGAGTTGCGTATTCTAGATGGCATTGAAAGACCACTTAAGTTATTTTGTGACAATAAATCAGCAGTACTATATTCCAACAATAGGAGTTCGACGAAGTCAAAATTTATAGACATCAAATTCCTAGTTGTCAAAGAAAGAGTTCAGAGTAGACTTAAATCTATAGAACACATTGGGACAAACTCCATGATTGTAGATCCATTGACTAAGGGATTACCACCCAAGGTTTTTCATGAGTACACTACTCATATGGGTATGGTTTCTCTTCAGGAGATATCGTTTCAATGGGAGTTCGTATTTTAGATGCTTTTATTTATAGATACATTTGTTATAGATATTATGGGTGGTTATTTATTACAGTAAAGTATTCAGTTTTCATTGACTTTGATTTTGCATGGTTTGATCTCACTAAGGTTTAAGGAGGACCAGTTGGAAATAGGCATGCTAAGATCACATTGCATGAAATTTCCATGCTACACATCCACACTTGATCTTTGTCATTAGTTGTATTGATATATGTGATCATTGATGAGTCTAGTTACGAAATATGTAACGACGATTGCTGCGGTTCTGTATTGGTGTGGTTAATGGACAAGATTGTTAAAATATATGAAGTTTTGATAGCAAAACTCATGAGCTCATAAAGTATAATTCACGTTTATAAAATTACATATATAGCCCAAGTGGGAGATTGTTGCAATAAAATTAAATATATGGGCTTATATATTAAATAAATGTGAATTATAGGCTATCAAATAAAGTTAGGCTAATTAAAATGATTAATTTAAATTTTGGGGCCTTAATTAATATATTATGAAGTGTGGGCATTAATGTGTAGAGATAAGCATAATTTCTATTTTTATGATGGATTAAAATAGAAATTACGAACAGACATGACTGTTTATCAACAGACACGATTGTTTATAAATAGGGGTCATGGTCCCCAGATCACACAACGGTTTTTCTATTCTTCTGATTCTCATTGTCAAATAGAAATTTAAACAGAAAACAAGTGTAGATCTGGAATATCATAAAGCCTCAGACTCAGACTCAAATATTTCAATATTTTGTTATGGATTCAGGAACACTTCCGCAAGTCCAATATTTTAATTCTTGATGATTTAATATGAATATTCCTATTTGTGTGATGGTTTTCGCATAATGAAGTTATTCTTACACAATGTTGTGATATTCATATACACAATAGGAAAAAAAAAAAACGAAGACTCTGGATATATTTCTTGCACATAAAGCATTATAGTAATGAACAAGACACAAGGTTTATACAGTTCATTTGTATGCATATATAGTCACAGTTGAGATGTTAAAAACTTGCCTGTTGCACTGCTATGACTTTTGAGAATCGATGTTCGTAAGGCATGTTGGTCTCCTCCTCATTTTGAATCTGTTCTTTATGAGCCTGCAGCCAACCCATTCAATTGATAGAAGTAATATGAATGCCATATAAAATAGTCTCAGAAGCTGTGAGGAGTGGGATTTCAAGGATGAGGCTGTTAGTATAGCAGCTCTACTGTCTAGAGAAGTTCCACTANATAGTCTCAGAAGCTGTGAGGAGTGGGATTTCAAGGATGAGGCTGTTAGTATAGCAGCTCTACTGTCTAGAGAAGTTCCACTATCTGAATTTAACAGTTTTTCTCTTATGAGGTCGAAATGGAATCCATTGCAGTTAGTTGATAATCCAGTTGCTAATGTTTTATGCAAGAGGGCATTACTTTAATGATCCATCAGGAGATTGTGTGACGCGTTTGTACTGTGTTGCAAATGATGGTACACCATAATCAGTGCATGGAGAATGAAATTACACATTGAAAATATATATTACATTTGTGAATGCGTTATCCAGATATAAAATTAAGGCAGATGGAAGTTAAAAAACACAACATTTTCTTTGAACTTGTGATATTGGAAACTCGGGATATATATAATCATTTTCTTTGAACTATGCATGTCGGATCAATGGGGCCCAGGGGTGTCTTTTACAATGGACTTAGCAATCTCAAGTTGGTCACCCCGAAAAGTTCCCACCCAAGTTACCCTGACAGGTTCTTGAACCTTCATTTTCAATGAGTAGTCGCAAAGCGTCTTGGATTATTATTGTCCACCATTGTATATAACACAATTTACGTATAGAAAGAGAGATTTCTGAAACATTTTTCTCACGTCTGGGCATTGTTATATATAAGGCAACATTTGAGGGAATTTTATGAATGACATTACAGTTTTCTCATCAAAACATGCAGGTATTAACAAGACAGCGTAATCGCTCAACATTCTCGCAAAATTACTGAAATACAGTTCAAAAAAGATTGGGTCTCCAGGAAACTAGAACAAGCTGAGGCCATTCAAAACTGATAAAAATCTGTATCTGCCATTTGCATTTTACGCCATTTGATAGGACAAATGTAAAATGCTTCAGGTGGCGACATTATAATCAATGATACCAATAGAGGTAAAATTAAGCCCATGAACATAATCATTGACAATACCAATAGAAATCAACAAATTTTAAATTATGGGGCAGGGATGCAGCAATGGCCCAATCTGTTGTGTATAGATACTGTTCAGAATGTAACAACTCAAAATTTTTACATTAAACACCTACATCCACTAAAACAATACATGCCTTCCACTTGGTTTTCCTTCTTAGAAATAAGGAAAGCACAATTTTGATGTCCTCTTAAAGGGGGCAGCATGCCCCGACTAGGACGTTTGATACATTACAATTTGATCTTTTGGCAAAAACAGCTATTTGTCATCCCCATTTATGGAATTTAGCCGTCTTAATCTCTCATCAAGCTCTGCCATGACTGCTGGTTCCTGCTTTTTCCTTTGCTTTGATATAGTGGTGGTTGTCATGGAGCCAATCTTATCGAAAGCAACCTGCAATAATTGGTTGGTGAAGGCATTATTTTGCAGTGATAGGCTATCTGCACCTAAACTCACTTAATTTTCGATATTTGGTGATTCAACCACTAACCAACATAAACCAAGATGACTAGTAAGACCAATAATCAGTGTGCACTGCATGAGAGGCATATGTTAATTAAATAAGTTTCGAAGAACATTGTCATGTTCATAGCATTTAACGTGAGTCTACCTTTTTTCCCAGGTATGTAATACGAGCGTATCTTGTTGCATGTAATGAAAAATAGAGATTTTCTATTTTTCAATAAACACTCAAAAAAGGAATTTAGCAAATGCTGTACGATTGGATGTAATTTATATTCACGAATTGCCCCCCTTCCACATGTAATTTTACACATACATATATAGTTTTACTTTGGGGGGACTGGCTGAGGGACACAATGAAAACTAAAAGAAAAGGGAAATAAACAAAGCCAGATAGAGTGTAGTTACCGTCAATAACTCGTCTGGATCAAAGAGGTGATGAATTGTTCTCTGTATTATATTAATTACATCCCCAACCTGATGTGCCACAAGCAACTTTTCTTCATTCATCTGCCATCATCAACCATAACGTCTTACCTCAGATACCTTGATGAGAAACAACATCCAATACTCATGGAAACTAAATAAGCAAACATGACAGTGTCACCTTGAAAATGGCCAAAGCTACATGAAATATAACCTTTGCCCCTTCATAGAAAAGAACATCCCACACCCGCATGGTTGTCTGAATGAGGTTTGCAGAAGGAAACTTATTATTTAACAGCCAGGTTTCTTTAAGGCAGGTAGGTAAGTGAGTGAGTAAGCGTCTGTGCGTGTGTGTGTTTGTGTGGAGAGAGAGAGAAGGGCAAATAAATTTGTTTTAACCTCTGAGGGCAAGCTCTTGGAAAAGAGGCATAGAAACCACTCTGTGCAGACAAGAGAGACATCAAACTCCAAAGCTTCCAAATGAGCGGCTATCCTGCAATTGTACTTCAACTCAATCTTAGACAACCACCAACAGAAAAACCGAGTATATCAATAATATCATCAAAGGGGTAGAATACCTTGGACATTTTTTGGCCAGCAGATCCTTAAACACCCTTTGTTCAACATGGCATCCTGATAAGTTATTTGTGTAGCAATCATTAACTAAGACATTTTCCAAGAGGACAGATAGCATCCAAAAAGCATCCTCTTCTGTTTTCATCACAAGCAACAATAATGCTGCTACATAATTTAAACCCTGCATCCAAATTCATCCTGTTCACTATCACGTAATTTAAATTTTTTTCAAACCAAGATTAAACATCATTTGTGGAAGTTGCTTCAACAAGGGAAAAAATCCTCTGCACACCGAAGATGTACTTGCCATAGAACCAAAAGGGTTGCCTAAAAAACAGATGCACCATAGGTATTATGTCATTGATATTAGTGCTAATGAATCCCACGGAAGTATCATTTATAATGATAACAAGAATTTTCGTGCATGAAACAGTAGTCACTAAATAGGTCTATGAGAGATGAATGCTGTGGTCACTGATTACAACAGGGTGGAGGATACCATTCACATAATGTACCCATGATTAAAAAAACAACTTAACATAACATTAGAATGGCAGATAAAATGATCCAAGTGAGGACAAAAAAAACCACAAGTGGTCTTATTCATAAAAGGACAGATTCAATGCAAGCTGAAGACCAACAAACATGAAAGAACTGCATGCAAAATTGAACGTCACAATAAAAATGTTTGGTATCTCATGTTTTAATTACAAACTTTATTGCGTAAGTATTTCATTCAAAAATTCCTGCAAAATACGGAATCTACTAGACTAGTATGGTGAGATTTATTTGAATTGGCGAAACTATAGTAAATTTCTGACAACGTGCATTTGAAGATACAAACCTTTTAGAAATTTCAACCGCCAGAACTACAAGATTTCCACTTGTTTTATCTCATTTTGTTTATTGTATCTGATGGAAGACTATAAAAGAACTCTTTCCAGTAAAAGTACATACCCGTACTCTTATTACGGTCCCTAGAGAATGAACCCACCTGACAGTAACCAACATCAGAGTCACGGAAAGAATACCCAACTAGAACACGCCTGAGAGTAGCATGACCCTCTGGAGTGTCCAACCATGGGTGACCAGGGAAGGTCCGTGGTAGATCCTGCATTTATAAACATAGAATACCAAAATTTGAATACTAATATTAGCATGGCCCCAATAAACAATAGTTTGCTATTCAGAGAAACCAAATAGGCTGACAGAAAAAAATCGGCATCATACATAGACAAAAAAAAATGCAACAAAAAATAAGCAAGGATGGAAACCCCCAATATAAAGCTTAAACTGTTAAACTTCTTAAGTTGCCAATGCTCAAACTTCATGACATCACACACCTTGTTCATATAATTTTTTGATGAAAATAGACATTTTGGTGAATTCCTTCACAATAAAAAAAATTTCTGACTTCTCACTTATCTCACACATCAGCCAGCCGAGCATTTTCTATCCTGAAAAACATTTATGTATCGAAGCAAATACTATGCGTCCGCATGAAGAATTTTACCAAGAAGTACCCGAAATATATAAATTACAAATTATTCACTGGCATGACCACCCAAATCTGCACAATCTCTAAACCCTCATCTTTGTGTCATCTCCCTGCCCTGCCTCCCCCTTTCTTTTCCAACTTGGTAACATGAAATTTCCAATGTCCACATCATATTGACAAGCTCACAATCTAGAGCTTCCTGGCAATCTAGTCATCCTGACATGAGTACCAAGTATGTGCAGTGCATTTGAGACTTATTTCCCCAGAATTCATATCCAAGGGTAAATATGGCCATACTTGTACTGAACCAAGATTTCTGTTGAACCATTGACCATATAGTAGAAGACATCTTCCTAGTTTATTTTTATCCGATGATGTGTCTATACTTGGCGCATTTGAACAAATTAAGATGCAATAGTAACAAGTTTACTATCACTCACGATCAATCGAGATGTATTCTGAATGAGGAAAATCCATGAAATCAAAAATAAGTGATAATGCTCCTTAACTTAGCCGGAGCAACCATAAAATACTGCCAAACAAGCTTCATGGTTGTATCCTAAAAGGTTGCAATCTCAAATTCATTGTGATCGTCATCTCGCCTATTGATTTATAGACTGTCACTTTGATGAGGTTATGCCCTTGTCACCCTTTGCAATATCTAAACTTAATCAAGGGCCTTCCCATATGGGTTCATCATAACACACAGCCCATATAGAAGTTCAACCATTTTGGTGAAGGCATTGAATCTTTTAATATTTCGTAGATATTTAAATGATCTATTTCATAATGCATACAAGATTCTTCCACCAGAAAACTGTATAATTTCAAAATTAGGAAAGATAAACAAACCCATCTGTTTCTGCAGAATAATGCAAAACTAGGTTTGACCTATTCCGCTGAAAATTCCTATCAGCATATTAAAAACAGAAGGATATCCATTCTGTACATCACTTAATACTAAATTTTTTATGGAAACCACCCTTTCACAGACAAATGATGTTGCAAAAGGAAATATCATAACCTTCATGTTAGAAACAATTCACCAAATCAAATTCAAATAATGATTCATGCAATAACACAACTACCACAAGCATAATTAGAAATCTAATCTAATCCTCAACATCTCACAGTGATCAATCTAATACCAAAAACTCACATGATCTATCTGCTTCGTTGCGGCAGTGACCTTATCCTGCACAGCCTTGATCAAATCATCATAATAGCTCTCCGGCACAGTTGATTTTTTCTTGGCCGCCCCAGACAAAGAAAACCACACCTTAGGCCTTAAACTTGGTGGGATTCCCTTCCTAATTAGCCTCTTGAGAGTAATTGCATTCACTAGAACTGAAAATTTCAGGGATGATGTTAGAGTTGATGAGACTTGAGTCTGCAAATACCAATTTGCACCTTTGCTAGCTTCCAATGCCCACCATACCCTACCCTGTTGCCTCACCTTCTCTCTTACCTCGTTCAACACATTGACATCATCAACATTTCCCTCTACTGTGAATCCATAAAGATCCTGAAATTTCACTGTGATGTTTGCCCTTCTGGCATGAATGCTTGGTCTTAAAATGGGTATTTGGGCTTGACATTCAAATGTCAAGTCTCTCCTGCTTTGAGTTCCATACATCCTTATGTGGTTACAGCAATGGATCAACAATTGGAGAGCGAATAAAGGGAAGGGGGGGTCAAGGTAGAAAAACCACAAATGATACAAACATGGAAAGGTTAATTTTGAAAGCTAAGAGCTTGAAATGAATGATCAAAACTGAAAATTTCCTTTTTTCTGGAAATGGGTATCTATGAATCAATGAAAGTCTACTTTCTATAGAATTCAACTCTTAAATCTGATAAAATAAATGAAACTTTCTAATCTCTCCACACATGGGTAATTCAAAAACAGATTGATTATAGATACAACACCACTTGAGAAAAATGGGAAGTAAATGAAAAAAGACGACACAAAAAAACAAAACCAAGCAAACTACCCAGAATTCTCAAATCGTTTTACTCCTTTGTCTTCTCCTGCAAACTCAGATACAGGAGAACAAAAATAAAGAAACTTTGATATGGGTTTGGTTTGAAGAACAGAAAAAATGAATTATTTTCAACAAAAATGAAAGACGAAAGAAATAAAATGCCCAACTTCCTAAATTTGTGGGTAGTGGGGAGGTTTGAAATTTGGAAGAATCGGTGGCCTTGAATGAGAGAGGAGAGAGAATCAGATAGAATTTAATTGTAGGCTTTTTTTATAAAATTATTAGCAATATACAGATATAAAATTATTCATATTGCTAAAGAAATTTAAGGACGTTACACAGAAGACTGAGCAGTGGTAGAGACTTTTTAAGAGGAAACGTTGATTATTATTCTGTGGAAGGGATGCAGTGCTGGTAGGCTATAGCGCATTTGCGCGAGGTGTGCGTAGTGACCCATCGTTGTTTCTACAGACCACAGATTACTGTTTAACGTTGGAAGTTAAAATTACTAAATTGACCCTAACATTTGTAGGATATGTACAGAACCTTGAATGTGAATTTGGAAATTATTGGAGTTGCCTTTTATGTTTTGTAAATGGCACCGACGACCCATTTGATACGAGCATCTCCGAACTTAATTCAAATTTGAATAAAAAATTTAATTTGATACAATAGGTTTCAATGAAAAAATTCAAATTTAAAGGTAATTGATCATTAAAGAATAATAAAACTTGGTCATTCGTGATTTTAGTAAAAAAAAATATGTTACACAACATTAATGGAACTCAAAAATTGTGACCCAAGTACATATCATCCTTTAACGAGTGTTGGATGAGTGGGTCTCACTAAAAAAATTGATGAGACTCATTCATCCAAGAGATGGTATGTACTTGAAACGCAATTATTTGAGTTTTTATTTGAATTGTGTAATATTACTCGAAATAGATTATTGAGAAGTTTGAACTCCTAGCCCCAATGGTAATATTGTCATATTCCATTGATCAAAATTAGGGCAAAAAAATTAGTAACATTAAATTTAATTTTTTAGAATGAAAAATATACTATTGTGTATATTAGATATTAGGTGAAAAAATAAAATTGTATTGTCCTGGCCAAAATTACAAAAATTATAAAGAAAAGAGAGGAATAGATCAAATAACTCCAAGGGTAGTGCAGTAGAAACATAAATGAGCTGTAAACTCAGATATCTTGAATTCGAAATTCAACAATTCTTTTGGGTCAAATCAAAGAGACTTATTCTTAATAAATTTTTTAGTTCCAGCACAGCTGAATTGTCTTTATTCTGATTGAAGAGAAAATAAATCGAGGTACACGTAAGTTGTCTTAAATATTCTTGATGACAATACCAAAAAGAAATCACATAGAATTTCATCAAGGGCAGAATAATTTTGGGCGATTGCGTCATTTAACAAATTTTTGACGCGTTTTTGAAACCTATAGCTCGAGGGACAATATGGTAATATTACACAAAATACATTTGGGCCACTAAATCATTATCTGAGGCTACAAGGAGCTGGCAATTATGGGCCCATAAGTGCCATTAGCTTTAATTGATAATCAAATTTTTTACCCTTTAAATTTGCGTGTGATTCCTATTCTGTCCCTCAAATTGAATTAAATCTCCAAACTTTAAGTCGTGTTTTCAGCATTTGGGTGATTCGATTGAGAGGCTAATTGTGACAATTCATGCTTTTAATGTCATAATTTGTGTTTTAAAATTATGTGCTGGTCAATCTATTTCAAAATTTTAATTCTTCAATTATAAATATATTGGCTCGATATTTATGGATTGACTCATTTATATTTATATAGTAAAGATTATCCAAATGACCACGACTCTATGAAAATCATGTTATGCTACCTTCTTAAGTATAATTTTTAATATCAAATTATAATTCCCCTAAAGCCGTCTAGGGGTGTTCTTTAAAAAGCTAGAAAAATAGAAAAAGTATGTTTGAAGTAAAGTTCTAATTTTTTTGTGTCAAAATAAAAAAATAATAATAGATTATATATAATAGTTTCTAAAAATAAATTTTTAAAATTTTTTTTACACCGCTAATAATATTTTATGAATATAATAAATTAAAAAATTATGTAAAATCCACAACAAAACTCTAAAAAGGAGAAGAAAAGCTCATAAAATTAATTTCTTGAATCAGCCTAAATAATTTTTTTTTTGGTTCAAAAAACTACATAAGCTAGTAAAAAATTCAAGGATCAATCAGACCTGACTTATTTTACTCCAAAATCTTTAAAAATTATCTATTTAAACTAACTCCAAACGACCCCAATACCAAATTTGTGAGGACTTAGTGTTATCATAAACTTGGAGGAGATAGAATGTAATTTGTTGTTGCTCTAATGTGACACTTCCAGAGAAAGACAAGAGGGTTGACTAAAATGTTACAGAGTTCACACGTGTGCAGATGAGCGACAGAATGTTAGCCGTCGGATTAAGTTGGAGCTCACTTGTTTTTGTGATCCCACTGCAGTCTAGTAATCCATCCCCGCGTGCTTGTTGAGACATTTTCAAATTAATAAGATGGTTTTTTACACTTTGTCCACCTAAAAGATTTTAAGTTTTTTATTTTATACCCTTAAAGATTAAATTTTTTATATTATACCCTTATATTATCAAAAGTGTTGCAATATGACCATTTTGTTAACTTCCGTTATTTTTTTTTTAATCAAAAGTCAACCTATTGATACCAACGAAAAATACTAATAGAAAATTAACAGAAAGATCGTATTGTAATACTTTTGATACATTAAAAGTGTAATATACGAAATTTAATCTTTGATAATATACAAATTAAAATTTTTTTAATCTTTCATGATACAAAGTATAATTCACCTTAGTAAAAATATATGGCCGGCAAATTTTATCGACCATGGTGCATGGCCGGGTCAGCATATAATAAACACACCAGCCGGCATGGCCGGAGTTTTCATTGAACAAATGTCAATTTGTTCGGGCGATGAAGGAATTGTATGTTGTCTACAAACAAGATCTTGATTTTTAAATCATACTTTTATAAAAACGACAATAATTTAGAAAATAAGTTAAAAAGTTAAAAAAAATTAAGAAATCTCGATAATTAACATGATAATGAATTCACTTAAGATCGGTGGTGGTCTAATAACTTTGCAGTCTGTTGTTGAATCGTTAGTTTGCGGGTTTGAATTTCATCAACCATTTCTCGTAAAAATTTCAAGTGGTGACAAAAAAAAAAGATTAATTATTTTTTACCTCCTTGTGATTTCAACTAGAAATAATTTACTTATTTGACGTTCAAAATTATGTACATTTTCTATTTGAAGTTATGCACTAGAGTGAAATGATTACGTTTGTCATCTAAGTTAACGGAGATTGTATTTTACACGCCCAAAAGATGTTGTAAACTTTGTTTTCATTGTTTTCCTCTAAAAGAACATTGTCTAAGTACTTAAAATATCTTTTATAATATATGGTATAATATCCAAATAAGTAGGCATCGGTCACAAATCAAAAAACATATAAGAAAAGTATAAATGATTTTTGGTCCAAGATCAAAAGCTCACTTGATGAGAAAAAAAAGACTTGACATGTTTGGTTGAAATGTATTAGTTTGTTATCATATTCCATTAGTTTTATAGTCAAAAGTAAATCAGACGTCTGATTTTAAAACAAGGGTATTATGATAATTTTTTAATTTCGTTAACAAGGTCAATTATTTCACTATGATACATAATTATAAGGGTATAACGTGCATAATTTTAAATATCAAATAGATAAGATATTTCTAACCGAAACCCCGGATATAAAAAACAATTAACCAAAAAATAATAATAATAATGAATTCACTCCTTACCTTGTGGATCAAGAGTGCCCCATTTTCAAACTTAAATTAATTCACGCGCGTCTCACCAACTTCTTGCCTTTGGTACAAAGACATTTAAAAAATGCTTGCAGACAACTTTAGGGCTGAAGCAAAGGCACCATAACTATTTCCATTTACTTGAATGCAGTACACTATACCATACTCTTGTATAGATCATTTGAGGTAGACCCACCCAATTGTTTTTGTTCTGGTCAGATTTAGATCTCTTCCACTATATTTCTTCTTTTATTTTTTTCACTGATAAATCACTAATCTCGTATTCATGTAAAACTCACTTATATACGATTAGTCTCATTTAAATTCAAGACGAAAGATTTGTAGTTAATGTGAACAACGAAAGAATATATATATAAATAGAGATTCAAATCTGTTTTATTTCGTGTAAAGATGAATTATCGAACCTATAGTAAGTACTACACATTGTCTAACCGAAATAATCTTCTTTTTTTTTTTTGTAATGGTAATGTACCCTCAAATCCATGATGGATCTATCTTACAAATGTTTTGAGGCAAAATTGATAGCTAGTTTAATGTGCTCGTCAACGCCTGACCTCAAATGTTGATCGAGTCAACGAGAGGTTTGACCCGGCAAAATAGGATTGTAACCCAAGTGTGTATGCTTTGGTTGCATAGGGCATATAAAATGGCTCACATGATGTCTTACATCAATGGATCTACCAAAACAAGTAAACATAAGTAAAATATTAAAACTAAGACCTTTATAAACATTGTCTTTGTGGTTTGCTATG